TTTTTAAAAGTAAAAAAAAAAAAGCCTCTGATGATCGTGTGGCTCAGCTGGGATCGTCAGAGGCTTTTAAAAGCATTTTTTCTACAACCTCTTTGGCCGAAGAGGTTGTAGAAAAAAATGCTTTGAAAAGCCTTTGACGATCCTAGCTGAGTTGCCTGATCATCAGAGGCTTTTCAAAGCATTTTTTCCTGCAACCTCTTTGGCTGATGGTTGTAGAAAAAATGCTTTTAAAAGTTAAAAAAAAAAAAAAGTTGGCCATGCCCACCCAGTCACATTAACCCCCCCCCACAAGCCACTCCCACAGAACCGGTAGTAACAAATTTTACATTTCACCACTGGCCCAAGCCAAATCAATCTCTTTGTGTTTAGTGCTATACATCACTGTTTGGCTATATCCATGAATTTAGTTATATCATCTATTAGTTTAATGCATTTTACCAGAAGAATGAAATTAATATTTCGCTTACCCAAACATAATTATAAACAGAGCCACTGAACTCGGAATACCTGAGAGCACAGATGGTATAAACAGAATCCTTTGTTTTCTGGCTTTGTTGCTTTGAAGGTGATGAAGGGCTTAAGTGTTGCTTGTTTGTATATTTGCCTCACCTAGCAGGTAACTGCAAATCTCCCTAGTGCTGCTTTCCTCTTCTGTATCAGATAATGAGATGTTCCATCAAGGGAATTTGATAGCCAACACAGGTCCATGAGAATGGTTTCCCAGGCTGTATAAGCTCTATCTCATAAAACAAGAAATCTCTAGAAATAAATCCTGCTTTCTGTGATGAATTTTCGTTCACTCAAGATAAGCCTTTTAAATATAAAGAAGAGATTGTCAAGCAATTTTGGTTGAGGTTTGAGATTCTGAAGAGGCAACTGGGGACCCATTTAAGGATCAAGCCAGATGAGGAGTGATGGTGCATTGAACAAAAGCAACTTGTATGGGTTTTTTTTAAAAGGTGTTGGGTTTCTTAGGACTTACATCTTACCACTTTATAACTTGGAAATTAAAAAAAGCAGGGGAGAATTGAATTTTTCTCATATAGCAAAAGAACACATTCACCACAATCCCGATTTTATAGATCTTAAAATCTTTGTGCTAAATTGATTCTGAAAACAGTGGCTATGGATTTGGAATGGTGATTTTTCAAATAAATACCATTTCTAAAAAAGCAATCAGACATTTGCCTTTTTGTTTAAATTTGAAATATATGTCTATTCAGAAATAAATCCCATTAGACACAGTTGGATTTGTTCTCTGATCATTAGGCATATGATTGTAGGAATCCATAACACACTGTAAATCTAGCCCTGCTAAATTGTTATTCCCAATTAATGTAGCAAAATAGAAATGGAAAGATGAAATGGTTTTGTCAATAGTAAAAGTTTCTGAATTCAGACAATCAGTAAAAAGCAAGGCACTAGGAGTCACTTTATCCAATCCCTCCATCCCATATCATTTTATTGCTCAGATTCAGGTGTGATGCACAGATTATAAAGTTCATGTTTTTTTCCCTAATCAACCTACAGATATAGAAATTATGCCCTTCTTTATAATATAATCACAATAGAACCTTCCCTCAATACAAAGATCTTTGCGAAGAAGGATAGGCATGGACAGAGCAGATCACAATAACAGATAATCAGGATATCAAAAACTACAGGAAGTTTAATCTCTCTCAAACCACACCTGACTTGGCCCCTGGATGGTTAAAAAATCCCTGCTATGATGCAAATTCATACAGTCTTCTGATTTAAAGCTACACAATCTGGACTCCACTAACTACCCAATTTCAGCAAAGATTTATGGTTTTCTATACTGTACTTCCTTGCTGTCACCAGCTGGATTTTTGAAGCCAAGATCTGATGGTCATGCTCTGATCACTGATATATCTATCCGAACTAAGAAGAAAGTTTACTCAAGAATGTACATACCACTATTAAAAGCAAACCAGGATATACAAGCCCTTTCATCTAATTTAGGTCCTGATTTAATTAGGCCTCTAACTAAAAACAGACCAATGTGAATTAAGAGGCAAGCATTATAAGTGATTGGATATCATTCAATTTAGGGACCTTCCTGGAGCTATAACAGATACTGTGCAGCTGACTGACAAATAAATAGATCAGCCTGAATGCATTTTCAGCAGTCCTGTTGATTTCATTAAATTTATTTTTGTCTCAGGTGCATCACCCACTGCTTTGTAAGTAGTACAAACAAACACATACGTACTTGCTGGTAGCTAACGTAAAGAAAAAAAGGAAAACAAATTGTTTACCATGCAAGTAGATATGATTGTATCAGCACAGTAAAAAGCTTCTTAATGGTGTAGTGTATCATAGAACCAGATCCGTACTGCTGTTGGGTGAAGAAGGGCAGAGAGCCGGGCAGAGTACCAATCAGCATAATGATTCACTTAGTGTTCACTGTGAAAGAACACTTTCGAAGAAGCAGGATAAAAAGGATATTGAAGCTATGGAATATTGGTACTCGAGAAGACTCGTAAGAATACCATGAAAAGCAATAAAACTTATCATAAACAATCAGAATTCTCACTCAGGTCATTCAATAAGGAAAGGTGGAAGCAATAGTGGGTTCCACTTACCTTCGCTACCGGTTCATAACAACAATCGTAAGAGTGAAAAATGGTCATAAGTCACTTTTTTCAATGCCATTGTAACTTCGAACTGTCACTGAGTGAACTGTTGTAAGTCGAGGACTAGATGTACTGCGTACATTTACAAAGATCATTTAGGAAAACCACCTTTCTCCTATTGCTTTTGCTTGCCCCCACTAGGAATAGATAGAGAGATCATGCTCTCTTGTCATCTTGTTGGGCGCTGGCGTTGTGCCTTCTCAGTGGCAGCAACTGCCTTGTGGAACACCATCCTCCGAGAGATCTGGATGACCCGTTCCTGCTAGCCTTTCACAAGGCATTGAAGACATGGCTTATCCTGCCGACATTCGAGCATTTGAGTCAGAAGGGATATGAGCTCTGTTGCTATGAACTTGCTGCTATGAATTATGAATTGTTTAACATTGGGCACTGGAAGTTATATTGTGAGGAGAGTGTGTTTTGAATATTGTAATTTGCCCAGAGTAATACAATAATATAACATTACATGTATATTCTTATCTAAATAATTTAAATAAATAAAATCAGAATGAGCACTTCTGGATAGAAAATATCAAAATACCACCAATAAGAGCCATGGTGGTGCAGTGGTTTGAATGCAATAATGCAGGCTAATTCAGCTCACTGCCAGAAATTCAATCCTCACTGACTCAAGGTTGACTCAGCCTTCCATCCTTTTGAGGTCGATAAAATGAGGACCCAGATGGTTGGGGGCTATACTGACTCTGTAAACCATTTAGAGAGGCCTGTAAAGCACTATGAAGTGGTATATAAATTGAAGTGCTATTACTATTTTTGTTATAATCTTCATGGCAAAAGGGCAACTATAATCCTCATGGCAAAACTCTAGTCACAATAAATATATGCTTATCAGACCAATCATTATTGTAAAGATGTATGTTACAAGGTTGTGCCCTTGGGAAAGTGCTCTGCAGTTTCATGGGATATGGTGAAAAAAAAAATCTAGATGACAGTCATGATTATGTGATTGAAGCTCCATCTGTTTTTGATGTGTATGGTTTTATATGCAAACACATAAAACCAGCCAGAACTTCAATCACATCATCGCAGCTCCCATCTTAATTTTTTTTTTATGCCACACCCTGCGGATAGCCTTGGAAGATCATTGCTAGTTGCACAAGGAGAGCTATTATTTTTCTCCCACATTTTATAGAGTCAAATTCTATTCCATATGGTTCTGATTCCAAAGTTATCCGGTGATATGAGAATGATAAACAAGCCTCTTAACAGAATGGAAAAAAGGAGAATAATGGGATTTCTCAAAATAATTTCAATCCTTCCTTAATCATTTACAGCCTTCTGTGCAGTGGTGAAGTCTAAAATTTGTTACTACCGGTTCTGTGGGCGTGGCATGGCTTGGTGGTCGTGGTGGGTAATGTGACTGGGTGGGCATGGCCAATTTTTTGTTTTATTTTTAAAACCATTTTTTCTACAACCTCTTCGGCGAAGAGGTTGTAAAAAAATGCTTTCAAAAGGCTCTGACAATCCCAGCTGTGTTGCCTGATCGGCAGAGGCTTTTTAAAAAAGCCTCTGCCGATCAGGCAACTCAGCTGGGATCGTCAGAGGCATTTAAAAGAAAAAAAGGGTTTTTTTTTCTTTTAAAAGCCTTTGACGATCCCAGCTGAGCTGCGCGATCATCAGAGGCTTTTTTAAATTATTTTTAAAAGCATTTTTTGGCCGAAGAGGTTGTAGAAAAAATGCTTTTAAAAGTAAAAAAAAAGCCTCTAATGATTGTGCGGCTCAGCTGGGCATGGGAGAGGGGGCAGGAATTTTTGCTACCAGTTCTCTGAACCACCCGCCTCCATCGCTACCGGATTGGGCGATCCGGTCCGAACCAGGAGCATTTCATCCCTGCTTCTGTGCTGTCCTATTCATTTATCATTGAATTAAGTGAAACATTTGTATGTAACAATGAGCTGGAGGAGAAAGATTTGAATATAAAAATATTGAAGTCCATGAGGCAGAAAATAAAAAAGGAAATGAAAAGGCTTTCAGGATTGCCAGTTCCACACTCCTGCATAATCTGCTGATACGTATAGCAAAACTCTTGAAGCTTAAAGGAAAAAAAGTCTATGTGCACTATTTACATACACAGCAATCAAAATGTTCATCTGGACTAAGAGATTGCAAAGTTGGATGCCTAGCTGAATCTGTGTATTTACTCATGAAAGAAAGGTATACTCACTCTGGTGATTGCATACATGTGTGCACACCCATGGATTTGTATTCATGTAGATGAGCAGCAGACTCTCTTCAAACTTCATGCTCAACAACAGGGATGACAGGGTAGCCAGACAGCAGGAACCAACCAGAAGGGACAGCTCCAGTCTATAAAAACTCAGACCTAAGCAACAGACTCTATTTGAACAGCCTGAGTCAATTCATCAGCATGCAGATTTAATACCTGATTTCTGCCTGCATCCAAAAAGAGATTCATCTTCTTCGATTTTGCATTTATACCCCAATGCTTATTTTAGGTCAATTTATACTAGGATTATTCTTTGCATTTTAAATAGTTATTTCTATAAAGAGTTAATAATAAGGCTGATTAGAGAAAAAGAATTTTGCACTGAGACATAAAGAAATGAGAAGTCAGTATGGAATTAATGAAGAAGTAAAGAAAGGGAGAAAGGAGAAACAGTATTATTTCAAGAAGAAGCTTATCTTAAAGGATGGGTACAGAAGTGAAAAATGAAAATTAATCAAGCCATTTTGTATAGTCTGAATATTTGGATTATAGACTGAATATTTGGAGAGCTGTAGATTTTCTAGAACCATGAACATGCTGTTTAGAAATAATTGTACTGCTAATTAAATCTGAATAAATAACAGAGCCAAATATTAACAGCAGAGTCAGTAAAAAAGAAAAAATGGATCAAGATTGAGAAGTTAATTAGATCTATGCAGTTTAGCTCAAAATGTTCTATTGCTATTATACTACCAGTTTGTTCTAATTTTAAGAAAGAGAAAAATAGCCTCTCAGCTGCCTAGAGCATGTACTGACACACTTCTGAAAAATCATCAAAACATCTAAGAACCTTAATCAATGGAGAGGAATGCTACATATTTTAGGAGCGTCTTGGAGGGCTCTCTGCTGGAAAACATCACGCCAGTGAGTGGGAACCTCAACCAGTCTATCCTCCACACCCGAGATGAAGAACTTGCTAAGGTTGAGATTGGAATTCTGGCTGCTGTCTTGGTGGTGACTGTGGTGGGAAACCTGGGTATCCTTCTGGCCATGTATCGCCTTCGGAAGAAGATGAGCCGGATGCACCTTTTCATTCTTCACCTGGGACTGACAGACCTTGGGGTGGCCCTCTTCCAGGTATTTCCCCAGATGATTTGGGAAATGACCTATCGTTTCCAGGGTCCTGATCCACTCTGCAAGGTTGTCAAGTACCTGCAGGTGCTAAGCATGTTTGCCTCTACATACATGCTCATTGCCATGACACTGGATCGTTACATGGCTGTGTGCTACCCACTGCGTACTCTACGGCAGCCCACCTGCCAGGCATATCTAATGATTGGAGTCACTTGGCTACTAAGTTGCTTGCTTAGCATACCCCAGCTCTTCATCTTCTCACTAAGGGAGGTCCGCCAAGGTTCTGGTCTGCTAGATTGCTGGGCAGAGTTCAAATACCCTTGGGGCGCAAAGGTGTACATTACCTGGATGACTTTGTGTGTCTTTGTACTGCCGGTGGTTATCCTCTCAGTTTGTTATGGCCTGATCTGTCATAAGATCTGCAAGAATCTTAGAGGAAAAACCCAAAGATGTGGTCTCTCTGCAGCAGATGCTATCTCATACACAGCCACTGATCAGAATGGAGCGGAAGGGTACCATTCTGGCTCTCGGGTTAGCAGTGTGCTTACCATCTCCCGTGCCAAGATCCGCACTGTAAAGATGACTTTTGTCATAGTGATGGCCTATATTGCTTGTTGGGCACCTTTCTTCAGTGTACAGATGTGGTCAGTGTGGGATAAGAATGCACCCAATGATGGTGAGTCACTTTTAATTGGAGGGACGGAGTACCAGTTTGAGAAGTTCAGTCTGCTGCCAGATTCATAGTTTGGGTTCGTAGCCAGTGCAATTACTGGATTTCAATCAGGATTTCAGATGGAACAACTATGGTTTTTATTTCAATTCCATCTAAGCAGAAAAGGAAATTAGGGCAGATTTTTTTAAAAAATACAATGATGCTCTATTGCACTTGCTATTATATAAATTTTATCCATCTACTCTATGTTTATAAGCTGATGGAGAAATCCATCACCATTCACCATGCCTTGCCAAAAAGTGAAGAGAAGTAGATATTCTAGAATCTATCTAGATACCTTGAATTATCTTAGTATTGTAATACTGAGTGCTTCAGCTGTCACAAACATCCATACAGTAATATGTATTGTAATGTTTGGACTGTTCTATATATGAAGGCAGACTGAAATTACTTTGAACTGAAAGAAAATTGCAGGTAAGTTGATTTTGTTCCTTTGGGGGTATTTTTTTAAAAAAATGACATATTTTAATATTATTACAAAATATGCCTGCGCCTAAATTGTGGCTTTGAAATAATTACCTAGTTGATAACATCTATCTGTTACAAATATGTGTAAATATGTATCTACAATTGTACATACAGGTAGTCCTCAACTTACAACCACATTTAGATCAGAATCCATTTCTAAACAAGGTAGTTATTAAATGAGGCATGCCTGATTGCATATACTTTTTTGCCATGTTGGTTAAACGAATCACTGCAATTTTTAACTGAATCATTTGACTGTTAAGCAAATCCAACTTCCCCCACTGACTTTACTTATCAGAAGCCAGCTAGGATGCTGTACCCGTAATAATGATATGCTGGTTGCCAAATGCCCAAATTTTGATCATGTGACTGTGGGGAATGCTGCAGTGGTCATAAGTGTGAGGACCAGTTGTAAGTTACTTTTTTCAGATCCAATGTAAATTAATGGCTGTATGTCAAGGACCTGTATTAAATTTTCCTTACGTTCTTTATAGAACTGCACTCAAACTAACTATATTACCTATAATCCTTTGTCACATACTTATTTTTTAATTAAATTAGTAATATTGGAATTTATAATTAGAAGTAATAAACACTTTAAAAAACCATAATCACTAGCTGAAGATTTTAAACTAAAGCTCAAATTAACAAGATTTACCAAGTTGCAAAGTGTGGGAACTGAGGAGTAATTGTTCCAAAATGCTTATAGTGCTAAGTTTAGATCTCCAAAGGCTTGAATTCTAATTCCTTTCTAAACATACAAACAAGGCACCAAGTTAGCATTGTGTTCTAAATGTATATGTGAAACACATTTGATCTATTTATGCACATATCAAGATTCAAGCCAATCCCTGCTACTGCTGCTCATGCCTCTAAGCTATACAGTGAAATTTTGTCCTATGTATATATGACACATCTAAAACAGCCCTGTTTCACTGTCCTTCCCAATATGCATAGGAAGAACAATGGACCATTAAGGGAAATCTGTCTACCTTTTCTATCCAATATTCAACTTAGTCTTTCTGGTTCAGTTCAAATTATATAATTTTTTAAGTTTATATAATTCAGTATTTTTCAACCATGCAACTTTAAGATTTGTGGCATGCTGGCTGGGAAATTCTGGGTGTTGAAGTCCACATATCTCAGATTTGTCAAGCTATAATTGGATTCTGCAGATCAGGGAGTGTCGCTGAAAACATTGCAGGCATCAAAAACGAGCCACCTAGTTTCTGGACACTCCTAGTGGATTGTGACTGCATATAAATTGACAGGTTGCAGTAGAAAAGAGCACTGTTTTTTCATATAGAGTTTAGTCTCCAAAATGATAGTTGTTGACTACCTTTACATGCACCTATTAGATTACACCTATTATTACATGCAGAAGGTTTTATTTATTTATGTAAATCATTTTATAGATATTTCAAAAAATTATGGGTGAAACTGCTGGAGTCTGATGCATGCGTCTGATAATGACTCACCTTACTGAGTTTTACCCAAATAACATGATTTAGACATTAAGAGAGCAAACCCTTGTTTCTGTGAGGCAGAGAGATTATTCTTAGATGTCTGCGCACAATTTAAACAACAACAATCTCTTTGCTGACATCTAGTGGCATTTTGTCTGTATAATCTAGATTGCATCTGAATAGTTTGCCTGGAAAAAATCCAGATGATCACTGGATGGCAACAGGCACTTACAGAAAACTCTGATAGCCTAAAAAGAAAGAATAAATAGACGTCCTTCAAGAATTTAGGTTATTGGGGCAATTCAAACCTCTATGTTCAATGTTAGAGATACTGAGACAATTTGTAGCTTGCCAAAGACAAACCGGTTGGACAGAAGTAATAAGTGTGAAATGTAATCAACATCGGTACGGCATATATATTTGTACACTATTATTATTCACCCCTTCTGTATTTTGGGCATTTAAGACAGTTAACTATTTTTTTAAAAAAAAAACATTAAAAATCATATTTATAAACCAGTTCAACTTGAAAGTGCTTGTCTAAAAAAGAAAAGACTCGACTCCCTTCCTAAAAACAGAATGGGGAGAGTTGAGCACAGTTCTGGAGGGAGGGAATGCCATGCTTTGGGAGCATGATCATTTTCATGTTTTTTTTTAAAAAAAAGGACTGTGTTTACATGTTGCCTACATGATCATTAACACAGGTGTATTTTTACTCTACACACATGCGCCAAGTTGCAATAACTGCATCCATGATATGCATACAATGAGGAACCATATAGGTACATCTGATCATTATACCTAGTTCACTCTTTTTATTATGGTTGATATAGATTTGAAAAAGAAAACATCTCACTTTACTTCTCTCTTTGTTCCAGAGTCAAGCGATGTGACTTTTACCATCACCATGTTGCTGGCCAGCCTTAGCAGCTGCTGTAATCCCTGGATTTACATGTTTTTCAGTGGGCATCTCTTTTATGGTGTCCTCCACTTTTTCTCCTGCTGCGGGAATCTCCGGTCCAATCTCAGGAGGCAGATGTCCAATGGCAGCCTCTGCAGCCATAAAACTACCATCTTGAGTCACAGTCCTCAGAGCACCCCAGATCCAAATGCTGCTGGGATCCAGATGCAAGTGGGAAATATGAAAGAATTCTACCAGCCTTATGAAGATACAGTGATTGATTCAGGAATTCTTTAAAATAACGGAGCGGTGTAATGCCAATGAATGATACTGTTATCCCATAATCTGTTATTTTGAAACAAGCAGAAATAGTAGAATAATGTAGTGGCCCTATAGGATATACTTTGTGGCTATGAAACATAGCACACAATATATAACATAAATCAGGCCTGATTCATTTCTTTTTAAAAACACTGTTCTGAATTATAGTCTTGTCTCAAGATAGCAGTGCTATCTTGTTATTGATTGTACTAAACAGTTTATACGTTTTAAATTACATTTTATGGGCCACCTTATTTCAAATATACAACCCTAATTTCAAATATATGAATGAATATATGAAGGTAAGAATTACTTTTCGGGTCTTTCGTTTCTTCAATTACTTTTAAAACTTAACTTTCTTCTTGCTCACAAGGCCCTCTCTATGCCTATACTAAAAAGATGTATTGATCAGTAGCAATTTAACTTACCTTTCTCATCTAATTTAGAAGAAAATAGTTAGCTTTGCTTCAGATTGCTGAAAATTGTATCAGGAATGCTTCAGCTCCTATCATGTAAATTAATGGTATTAATAAATGTATGCCATGCAACTAAAATGGTTTTAAACTGTTATCAGTATTCCTTGAGGTACACTATTCCTGAAGTAATTATTGTTAACTGTTCTTAAAGTCAGAAATATCCTTGATCTCAGTTTGGAACGATAAACACCAAGCATGAAATGACATGTTGGCAGCAAAAGTTATTGGCTACAAAAGCACCTTGATTATGAAAGGTAATTATTAGGTCTAAAAAGACCGTTATCTGCCACTGAGCCACTGTCAACTTGCATGCACTCATTATGAATTAATGAACTCTCAAATATCATTGCTTTTACTCAGAGGCTATTAACTAAGCCAATTATCAGCGATAAAGACTACTGATAGCATCTAATTTCTGACATTCATTTTAATGAGCTGGAAGCTCAGCTGATACTGGCTAGTAGTACCAACTCACAGCTCAGCTAAATCTGATTGAACAATGTTTTCTTTAAGAAGCTGTATATCACTTTCTATCTCTGGAGTTTAGCATCCTAAAATTGCTAAGGTTCTAGTACAGAGGTGTCAAACTTTATCATATCACGTGATGTATCATGACGTATCGCAATGTTTTTTGCCTTTGCGGAGCTGGGGTGGGCATCGCCTGTGTGTCACATATCCAGCCCACGGGCTGCCAGTTTGACAAGTCTGTTCTAGTAGAACTTTTTCCAGTCTGGTGTGCTCCAGGTGTGTCAGCCGCACTACCTAGGAATTCTGGGAACTGCTTCAAACTGGAAAAAAAGTAGATTGCCCTCCTGTAGAATAATTGGGCCTACTATATAGATTTTGACTAGTTTAATAAAAAATATTAAGCTTATAATGTGGTTTGTTTAGTTTTGGTTTAGTATGTCATGTGAACAGCCATTATGGCATATAAGCTATGGTTTATGATTTAGTGAGTTGTGTGAACCCATCCTTACTCCTTCCTGGTTCTGCTGTATGCTTTCCCCAAAGTGAGCGATGCTAATAGCAAAGAACAGATACTATTCCCCAATTGACTGGTCTTGGATGTTAGTTTCTTTCACTGTGCCTGTCTGAACAGCCCAGTGAAATACAATTTCAAGAAAATCCCATGGCTACTTCCTATCTTTTTTAACAGAGAGAATAAAAGAACCTGGGATGGTGAGGAGGAGAAAGAGGGCATGTTGAAGATAACGATAATTTAACACTTTGAGATGAAACAGAGAATTAATATGGTCTTTGTAGTCCCCTACCCTCTCTTACTTCAGTCACTATTTCCAGTTCTTGCAATAGCTTCTAAATTGTGGAAATATCCCAAGGAAAAGATATTGTAATGTAGCTATCCCTCTTCCATCTAATGACGTTTCCTGACGATTATACTTTCAACTTAGTGTTATGTGTGAACTCAGCCAATTGTGGCTTATTTAACAAACCACAATTAACCAAAACCAACTTAAAGGGTAAACTTGACCTGTTTCTTTACCTACTCAAACAAAAGAGAAGCAACATTCAAAGTATAAGCACAGTGATTTAAGAACCAATGGACTGCTCAGTTATTAAATACTTAACTTTATAGTTGACTTTTTAAAACCATTCACTTATAGCTGATTTTTAAAAAAAATAAAAAGGCAACAAAACCAGTTTCCAGTAAAACAAAAAAAAGTAACTAATTAGGAAAGATTTAAGTGTTTGTGTTTGTTTATGACATGTTTAAATGATAAGGACATAATCAAATTTAATTTCTGTGGAAACTAGGAAAATATAAGATGTGAGACAAACATCAAAGGACATTGAGTAAGTGAAGACTTTTGACATTTCTTTCTCCAACATGAAAATAAATAAGTAAATTTAAGATGAATGTTAAAATGTAAATGCTTGCAATTTCTAGATAAGGAAATATGATAAAATCAAGGCTTTGCCTGTTTTTAAATGAGTTTTTACATGCAACACAAATAAAAAAGAACATCAATCACACTGTTGCAACCATCATCTTTATTTTTTTAAAAAAATTATAGCCTTAAGTTTCCCCTTAATGTGGAATGTTTTTGCCCCAGATATGCCTGGTGACTGAGAAGACAAAAGCTTGCAATCTAACCTACCAGTAGACTGGGAAGGCTTTGGCTAATGGTTCTTTTTTCAGGACATTGTCAACTTTTAGAATGGTCTTTGCCAAGGCAGCATGCTAGGGCAGGGCAAAGCATGAGAAGTAAGTATTTTGCAATGCTCAAGAATATGAATAATACACTTCTCTGAGTCATTCAAACAGGTGTGTCTTTTGAACTGTTCCTGAGGCTGCTTGCAAAGCAAACTATGTATGTATGTGTTTCTATGCAGACAAACTAGGAACAACTTTGGAGGCAGCTACTGGAGCTTTGCAAACCTTGTACTACATTAAAACCATTTCTTTCTAGCACTGTGCACAGAACTGAATCTTAACATCAAATATTCTATTATATAAAATATAAACATTTGTCTCCCATATTTTCTCTAACTAAGGATTCTCCTGCTGTTATTCCTATTTAATTAAGCTGTTTCTCCCTTCCTTCCCACATTTTCATTCTTGAAGCCATTCTCTCTAAAGCCCTTCACATAACAGGATTTCAAATAAATTATGTTAGGTACTAACCAATAGAAGAGACTACACACCTTATTGGGACACTTTAGGAGTAAGAATAGAATAGAATAGAATAGAATAGAATAGAATAGAATAGAATAGAATAGAATAGAATAGAATAGAATAGAATAGAATAGAATTTTTTATTGGCCAAGTGTGATTGGACACACAAGGAATTTGTCTTGGTGCATATGCTTTCAGTGTACATAAAATAAAAGATATGTTCATCAAGAATCATAAGGTACAACACTTAATGATACTCATTGGTTACAAATAAGCAATCAGGCAACAATATCAATATAAATCGTAAGAATACCAGCAAAAAGGTTATAGTCATACAGTCATAAGTAGGAGGAGATGGGTGGTGGGAACGATGAGAAGATTAATAGTAATGCAGACTTAGTAAATAGTTTGACAGTGTTGAGGGAATTATTTGTTTAGCAGAGTGATGGCGTTCGGGAAAAAACTGTTCTTGTGTCTAGTTATTCTTTTTTTTTTTTATTGAAAAAGTTTTAAAACAATACACATTTTTCCCACAACCCTCCCTCCCAACCCCCCCTCCCCCTCCCCGACTTCCCAGAGCAGAACACAAGGTATTTCTATTGACCTTTAACAATAAACTAAATTGCATAACCAATCATTAAACTAACACCCCTAAAAAAAATTTTCTTAACCCCCCCATATATAAAATCCTATTTTTTAAACATAATACTTCTAATATCACTTATATAACACTTATACAAATAAAAGAAATCATTCATAAGCTATTTGATATTTTTTGGTCTGATACTTATTTTGTATATAATCAATCCATCTTCTCCAATCCTGTATGTACCTTTCTTGTGTATGATCCTTCAGATATGCTGAAATTTTAGCCATTTCAGCTAAATTAGTTACTTTCAATATCCAGTCATCAATAGTAGGCAAAAAGTCCTTCTTCCAGTGTTGTGCTACCAACAATCTTGCTGCTGTTATCAAGTTCAAAATCAATTTAGTCTCTGCAACTGTACAGTCCGTAGTTATACCCAATAAGAACAACTGTGGAGTAAATTTCAGTTTCTTTTTAAAAATATTCTGCATCACCTACCAAATCTTTATCCAAAATGCTTTGATTTTACTACAAGTCCACCATATATGATAATAAGTTGCATCATCACAGTCACATCTCCAACATTTAGCTCGCACATTAGAATACATACATGATAATTTTTTAGGATCTAAATGCCATCTATAAAACATTTTATAAAAATTTTTCTCTTAGATTTTGTGCTTGTGTAAATTTCACATTTCTAATCCAAATCTTTTCCCAAGTCTCCATCATTACTGGCTCTTGAAAATTTTGTGCCCATTTAATCATACAGTCTTTAACCAATTCCGTCTCAGAATCTATTTCCAATAAAACGTTATACAACCTTTTAATATGCATTTGTTTTTGATCTCTAATTTGTTTTACCAAATTCTCCTCATTTTGCACAAAGCCAGTTTTTTTATCTTCCTTCCATCTAGCTTGAAGTTGATCATACTGAAACCATGTATAAATTATACCTTCTTCTCTCAGTATATCTAAAGATTTCAAATACATTACCCCCCTTTCCATAATAAGAAGCTCTTTGTAGGTAATCACCTCCTGTTTTTGTTCTGTACTTATATTTTCTATTGCATGTCTAGGATTTGCCCATAAAGGTATCTTATAGTTTAACTTATATTGATATTTTTTCCAAACCCTTAACAAAGCATTTCTTAATATATGAACCTTAAATACTTTATTCACTTTTTTATCATATAACAAATAAGCATGCCATCCATATAACAAATCATAACCTTCTAAATTCAAAATTCTCCCCTCAGTTAAATTAAACCAATCACTAATTTGTGATAAGACCGCTGCTTCATAATATAATCTTAAATTGTCTAGTTATTCTGATGTGCAGTGCTCTATAGTGTCGTTTTGAGGGTAGGAGTTTAAACAGTTTATGTCCAGGATGTGAGGGATGTGAAGCACCCTCTACATTACAGCAGATATTCTGTTTTTTTAAATCTGAACAGTTCAATAAACAGGAAATCAGTCGTGTAGTGCCTCCTACTGCTCAGTAGCTAATATAACATCTAAAGCAATATATAAAACACCCCACCCTTAAGGGGAGGCAATTTTGAGACCTCTAACATGAAGCCCAGACCAACAAAAATTAGAAAACTGTCTCATATGACAAAACAGAAAACAGGGAGGTATACTTGCATAGCTTCCGTACTATGCAACTATTATGTCCAACTACATACACATTCAAATTGTGGACAAGCTACTCATGCACTCTGCAGGATATAAACACGAGATGTAGTGGGTTGAAAGGGAAGCAGCATCAATTAGCCTGATCAAACCAAGTTAACAAAAGGAATTTGGGCTTTCCACTATTCCTGGAAAAAATAATTTACTCTATAGTATTTCATTCTTTAAAAGGATTGCTAATTGAGATTGAAATTATGCATACATTGTTATCAGCTTCTTGGTAAACATGTTTGCAAATCTCTGAACTCAGTCCATCTTGTTAAATAGCTGAAGCAAGTAAGTGAATAAAAAGAAAGGTCTCTGTACACACTTTCCACTCCTTTTCCTTACTTAGTACAATTCTGATTACCACAAGCATTTTTAAAAAGCCTTATACAGAGTAATGAAGGATTAATGCCATGTACTGTATATATGGATAACAGGATGATTTATTTTTTTTAAAAAAATATTTATTATGACAAGGCCGAAGTGAAAAGTTCTATAAGCCAGTAAGAACTAGCTTTTAGCTCATTATACTATATAAGATATAGCTCGTTCATCAGGAAAAGGTACAAAATAATTTTACAAAAAAGCAGAGTCCCTCAGGTACAATATTGGCTATATTTAAAAGAAAATATAGGATGATAGTTATGATTAGGTTATAGCAGTTGTTTAAAGAATCCTCTTAAACTAATAAATGGATTAGAGCAGTGATGGCTAACCTTTTTTTCCTTGGGTGCCAAAAATGCCCACACCCATAATGCAATAACCCCCCGCATGCCCCACCCCCTGCGCATGTGCACGTGACTCCCTGTTGCAATATTTTCAGGATCAGACTCAATAAAGATAATAGGAGTTAGAGCTTTAAATATATTTCTTTTTAATTATGATAGGCATTCTATATTCACCGAATATTCAAGGTAGAAGCAGTTAGAATGGTGAGGGTGGCTCCTTATATATACAAGGGGTGGAGCTAGGAATGGGAGTGGTAAGTTATGAATACATTAAAGTCCAAAGAATAAGTTAACCTCTGATGTTCCATATATACATTATTTACACATTGGAGAATAAGGCATTTACATCTGACACTCCCCCCACTGCCCCACCCCTACACAGGCACACATGACTGCTCCGCACTCCCCCACGCCCCGCGCATGTGCGCACGACCCCCCTGCACCCCATTTGCGGCCTAGCAGGCCTCCCTGAAGAGTCCGGAGGCTGGAAATGGCCCATTTCTGGACTTCCGGTAGGTCCATTTTTCGCCCTCACCAAGCTCCAGAGGCTCTGGAGGCTTTCCTGGAGCTTTCAGGAGGGCAAAAACGGCCTCCCCTGGCCATTGGAGGCCCTCCGGAAGCCCTCCGGAGGCCGGAAACGGACTGTTTCCGGACTTCCATTAGGCCCATTTTCGCCCTTCCAGAGCCTCTGTAAGGTAAGCCCTGTACCTACCTGGCATCCAAAACAGGCCATGTGGAGTCTCCTGGGAGGGGAGGGGTGGCATGGGCATGCACGTATATCTCCCGCATGCGTGGCAGAGACCCGAAAATCAGCTGGCCAGCAGGAGGTGTGCATGCATGCACGGTAGAGCTAACCTAGGTCAACGGCTCATGTGCCTGCAGAAATGGCTCCGTGTGTCACAGGTTTGTCATCACAGGATTAGAGCATAGCCAGAAATAAATTTTCTTTTCTTAGGATGACACATTCTCATAATGACTCTACTTCTTTTAGATCTTCACAGTCCCTAGCTCCTCCAGTGGTAAGTTTGAGATCCATCTGGATTTAAATCTTCAGAGGATGAAGAGTTCAGAAATACATTAATGGAGCCCATTTTAGCAAGCATCAGAAGTGACAGATCACATTTCTGCTGGAATCTTCACCCAAAATAACAGAAGTCCAGAAATAATTTTGGATGAGGTCACCCTCCAGCTAAAGAAAGCAAGTGTATGATTTTGCATTGTTCTGGATTCATACCTCCCTACTTAGAAAGTATAATTAATGCAGAACATATGATAGCAAATGAGAACTACTAAAGCATCATTACACCTATTTTGAAGATGATGTATTGGTTACTTATATGTTTCTGAGTACAATTTAAAATAT